CGCCGTGCAAAGCGTAAACAAATGTACGAGAGTGTAAACTAATACAAAGTGGGTTAAGTCTAGAACAACAGTGGGTGTAAGTCTCGGCCTTAGAAATTTCGAACTTTCCTTGGAAACTGCGTAAACCTACGCCTCACTTAGATTCTCCATGTTTACAATAGCAAATCATCCATCTAGGGGCGCATGCGCAATTATTTGACTGCTATGTTCCTACAGGCCATTTTTGTGTACTTAGTTGCTAAGCCTTTGATTTGGAGTGAGGCTGAAGGTGACATTGTTGCGATAGAGACCACTAAATAGTTAGCATGATAACAAAGCATACCTACGAACCCCCAGAGTACAAAAATCTGGAGACGTCTCAATTCAACCGACGTAAACCGCGCGCGACAACCTGAATCGCGCCAAATTTCTATTTAATTGGTTGATTTCTGATCAATTATGATACTCGTTTAATTGTATTTCAAATTGGTTGCTCTGTTTTACTTTTGACGATCAAGAACAGCTTAAATAGGAGCACTACATCCTTTTTGACATCTCGAAAACCACTAAATTATTGGAAAAAATTTTAAAAAGCCACGGTAGGTATTTCCCGGAAAATTTGATGCTCTAACCGGGAGACCAGGAGATTTGATGACAAACTTGGAGACTCTCGCGAAAACCGGGAGAGTTGACAGGTATGACAAAGTAATTTACATTTGAAAAACAGCAACGTTTCTATCATAACAAGGTCACCCTTAGCCTCACTCCTGTTTAAAGCCTTGGCAACAAAGCGCACAGGTGTTAAATGGACTATCAAGCGCGTGAATGAGTGAGTGTGACAATATAATATGAATGACCATTCTTAATAGTTATTATGTTTATGAGAATTTTTGTAGATCCGGTATTAAAATGGTACAATACATAAGCAAATTTATGGTAAAGTGTAGCATATGCTATTTGAAATATCTAATGCATGTTCTGGTGTGTGAACATGTTTGTAGAAAATTGTGTAATTTGAAACAAAAAAAGTGAGTTATTCGATAGGAGGTTATGTAGTATAACATTTTAAGTAAAATAGCATGAAATAATAGACTGAGAGAACTTAATTACGTTGGTCCATTTAATATGTTTGATAAAAAAAGTATGATTAAGCTTATCCCTTTTCAGATATAATTTTACTTCTGGTCAGTTCAGTAGATTTTAATTTGGCTCCTATGTTCAGACTTCATTTTCAAAGAACCAATTATTTTCGATGTATCAAAATTCAATCCCATCGAGGTTCAGGGATGAATAATTAAAACCTAGGAGCCATGTAAGAATTTATTTATGGTGAAATGACCCATTATTTACTTAAATGTTAGTTTTGATGATTTGATACTGATCAAGATCATTTTTGATTGGATGGAGTAAAACCAAAGTCAACGTTATAATTATAACGATAGCCAATTAAAACGAAGGAAATTATCACAAAGAGCCAAAGGACTAAAAGCCTAAACAAGTAGACTACCTAAAATTTGGGAAAACCCAAGAGTCCACTTTGAGATTTGTTAAGAGAACAGTTACCAAACCCGCCTGACGAGCGATAAATGAAAAATTCTTAAGAACTTTGTAAACAGGTTACGCAGACGATTTTTGGGTGTGTGAGTTAGTTTAGAGGTTTTTCTTTTATTCGCAATTTTTTAGGTTGTTGGTGTTTTTACTGTGTAATTGTGTTACTCTTTTCACCGTTTTTCAAGCTGTTAAACGTGCCTGCCCTTTAAAGAGATTTCTGTATCCGCTTCCGAACAGATAGGTTTGAGTGATGTGCATGATTGGCTGTGAGATTGCCACCAGAATACCAGCCTGTCGGCTAAAAGTTATGTAAGACCAATGAAATTCATGATTACTATCCACATGCAATTGAAACTTTCTCCCCTAGTGTCCACTTTGGGATCGGTTTGAGTGATGTATGTGTGATGTAAATGTGATGTATGTAATTATCCCTTGAGTCTCATCAGCGAGCCCTTGCTATAAGACTTAAGTTGTTCGGCGAGGAACACTCAGGTACAGCACAAAGCTATTATTCCGTAGGAGTCACAAAACATTCTTCAAGTGACTACACCGCTGCCCTTCAGTCTAAACAGCAAGCTCTTGGCATGAGAAGAAAGTTGTGCAGAGAGGAACATTCCGACACAGCTTAAAGTCACTATTACGTGGCGTTCACACAATAATCTTTAGGGGATTATCAATCAGCTCTTGAGTCTGTTCAGCGAGCCCTCTACATAAGACGAAAGTTATTCGATGAGGAACACTCGGACACAGCTCAAAGTTACCATTCTGTGGTGGTCACACAAAACTCTTAAGGTAATTATCAATCAGCTCTTGAGTCTCATCAGTGAGCTTACATCAGCCCTCCA